TGTGTTGGGGGTAGTATGTATGTGGGGAACCTCACATCCACTGAACCCCCTTGGTGGGCAAAATGGAAGGTAGTCGAAAGCCCGCCTCTGGTCACCACATCCCAGAACTAATGGCCAACCTCCACAGATACACCTGCCACCCATAGGACACCAAAAGCTGCCCTCTGGAACTCCAGACAGTGGATCGGAACATCCCCCATGGCTAGTTTTATGCTTATACAGTAATACCCCATTTTTCGTCCTTAATCCGTTCCAGAACGTTGGCCGTAATCTGAAATGGATGAAAACCTAAGTAATATTTCCCATAAGAAATAATGTAAATCCAATTAATTCGTTCCAGACACGTAAAAATATTAACAAAAAATACATTTTAGAGAATAGCTATAGTTTTACATACAGAAAACAATGAGAAATAATTATTTTAAATGAACCTTACATACCTTTATTGAAGACTCTTGTTGGCATATGAAAGAAGGCGAGGAGGGGGGAGGGAGTCGAGGTTATTGTTTGGAAGGGAAAACCCCCTCCATAAAGACTTCAGGTATCAAAGCCCGATCTGGGGTTACTTCCCTTCATTGTCTTTTACTGGCACAGGACCAGCTTGAGTCTCTGCACCCCTGTCCACACACCCCTGTCGCACAAAAAATCTGTCCAGAGAAGCCTGTTTCTGGCATCTCTTTAAGATTTGCCTAAAATGGGACAAGGCAATGTCATAGAACATGCTGCCTCACCATGCCTTACCACACTGTGTATGCCAGTTCACTTCCTGAATCTGTAGAACCAGCCTTAAATTCACTAACAGCAGCACTCATTCCAGGCATTTTCTTTACAAGATCTGCATGCAACTGCCTTGCCTTTTCACAAATTATGCCCTCCGCAACAATATCTCCCACTGTTTTTCGTTGATCCACACCAACAACAACTTCTCCACATCCTCAGTCGTGATCTCTGTTTCGTTAGCATATTTACTCCTTCATAACATCAGCTTCCTTGATTTCTGCTTTCTTTGCCAGAGAAGAAGAAAAACTTTATAAAACTGGGATGCTTGAATGTGCGTGGATGTAGTGCGGATGACAAGAAACAGTTGATTGCTGATGTTATGAATGAAAAGAAGTTAGATGTCCTGGCCCTAAGCGAAACAAAGCTGAAGGGGGTAGGGGAGTTTCGGTGGGGGGAAATAAATGGGATTAAATCTGGAGTATCTGAGAGAGTTAGAGCAAAGGAAGGGGTAGCAGTAATGTTAAAGGATCAGCTATGGAAGGAGAAAAGAGAATATGAATGTGTAAATTCAAGAATTATGTGGATTAAAGTAAAGGTTGGATGTGAAAAGTGGGTCATAATAAGCGTGTATGCACCTGGAGAAGAGAGGAATGTAGAGGAGAGAGAGAGATTTTGGGAGATGTTAAGTGAATGTATAGGAGCCTTTGAACCAAGCGAGAGGGTAATTGTGGTAGGGGACCTGAATGCTAAAGTAGGAGAAACTTTTAGAGAGGGTGTGGTAGGTAAGTTTGGGGTGCCAGGTGTAAATGATAATGGGAGCCCTTTGATTGAACTTTGTATAGAAAGGGGTTTAGTTATAGGTAATACATATTTTAAGAAAAAGAGGATAAGTATACAAGATATGATGTAGGGCGAAATGACAGTAGTTTGTTGAATTATGTTTTGGTAGATAAAAGACTGTTGAGTAGACTTCAGGATGTACATGTTTATAGAGGGGCCACAGATATATCAGATCACTTTCTAGTTGTACCTACACTGAGAGTAAAAGGTAGATGGGATACAAGGAGAATAGAAGCATCAGGGAAGAGAGAGGTGAAGGTTTATAAACTAAAAGAGGAGGCAGTTAGGGTAAGATATAAACAGCTATTGGAGGATAGATGGGCTAATGAGAGCATAGGCAATAGGGTCGAAGAGGTATGGGGTAGGTTTAAAAATGTAGTGTTAGAGTGTTCAGCAGAAGTTTGTGGTTACAGGAAAGTGGGTGCGGGAGGGAAGAGGAGCGATTGGTGGAATGATGATGTAAAGAGAGTAGTAAGGGAGAAAAAGTTAGCACATGAGAAGTTTTTACAAAGTAGAAGTGATGCAAGGAGGGAAGAGTATATGGAGAAATAGAGAGGTTAAGAGAGTGGTGAAGCAATGTAAAATGAGAGCAAATGAGAGGGTGGGTGAGATGTTATCAACAAATTTTGTTGAAAATAAGAAAAAGATTTGGAGTGACATTAACAAGTTAAGGAAGCCTAGAGAACAAATGGATTTATCAGTTAAAAATAGGAGAGGAGAGTTATTAAATGGAGAGTTAGAGGTATTGGGAAGATGGAGGGAATATTTTGAGGAATTGTTAAATGTTGATGAAGATAGGGAAGCTGTGATTTCGTGTATAGGGCAAGGAGGAATAACATCTTGTAGGAGTGAGGAAGAGCCAGTTGTGAGTGTGGGGGAAGTTCGTGAGGCAGTAGGTAAAATGAAAGGGGGTAAGGCAGCCGGGATTGATGGGATAAAGATAGAAATGTTAAAAGCAGGTGGGGATATAGTTTTGGAGTGGTTGGTGCAATTATTTAATAAATGTATGGAAGAGGGTAAGGTACCTAGGGATTGGCAGAGAGCATGCATAGTTCCTTTGTATAAAGGCAAAGGGGATAAAAGAGAGTGCAAAAATTATAGGGGGATAAGTCTGTTGAGTATACCTGGTAAAGTGTATGGTAGAGTTATTATTGAAAGAATTAAGAGTAAGACAGAGAATAGGATAGCAGATGAACAAGGAGGCTTTAGGAAAGGTAGGGGGTGTGTGGACCAGGTGTTTACAGTGAAACATATAAGTGAACAGTATTTAGATAAGGCTAAAGAGGTCTTTGTGGCATTTATGGATTTAGAAAAGGCGTATGACAGGGTGGATAGGGGGGCAATGTGGCAGATGGTGCAGGTGTATGGTGTAGGAGGTAGGTTACTGAAAGCAGTGAAGAGTTTTTCCGAGGACAGTGAGGCTCAAGTTAGAGTATGTAGGAAAGAGGGAAATTATTCCCCAGTAAAAGTAGGCCTTAGACAGGGATGTGTGATGACACCGTGGTTGTTTAATATAGTTATAGATGGGGTTGTAAGAGAAGTAAATGCGAGGGTCTTGGCAAGAGGCGTGGAGTTAAAAGATAAAGAATCACACATAAAGTGGGAGTTGTCACAGTTGCTCTTTGCTGATGACACTGTGCTCTTGGGAGATTCTGAAGAGAAGTTGCAGAGATTGGTGGATGAATTTGGTAGGGTGTGCAAAAGAAGAAAATTAAAAGTGAATACAGGAAAGAGTAAGGTTATGAGGATAACAAAAAGATTAGGTGATGAAAGATTGGAAATCAGATTGGAGGGAGAGAGTATGGAGGTGAATGTATTCAGATATTTGGGAGTGGACATGTCAGTGGATGGGTCTATGAAAGATGAGGTGAATCATAGAATTGATGAGGGGAAAAGGGTGAGTGGTGCACTTAGGAGTCTGTGGAGACAAAGAACTTTGTCCTTGGAGGCAAAGAGGGGAATGTATGAGAGTATAGTTTTACCAACGCTCTTATATGGGTGTGAAGCATGGGTGATGAATGTTGCAGCGAGGAGAAGGCTGGAGGCAGTGGAGATGTCATGTCTGAGGGCAATGTGTGGTGTGAATATAATGCAGAGAATTCGTAGTTTGGAAGTTAGGAGGAGGTGCGGGATTACCAAAACTGTTGTCCAGAGGGCTGAGGAAGGGTTGTTGAGGTGGTTCGGACATGTAGAGAGAATGGAGCGAAACAGAATGACTTCAAGAGTGTATCAGTCTGTAGTGGAAGGAAGGCGGGGTAGGGGTCGGCCTAGGAAAGGTTGGAGGGAGGGGGTAAAGGAGGTTTTGTGTGCGAGGGGCTTGGACTTCCAGCAGGCATGCGTGAGCATGTTTGATAGGAGTGAATGGAGACAAATGGTTTTTAATACTTGACGTGCTGTTGGAGTGTGAGCAAAGCAACATTTATGAAGGGGTTCAGGGAAACCGGCAGGCCGGACTTGAGTCCTGGAGATGGGAAGTACAGTGCCTGCACTCTGAAGGAGGGGTGTTAATGTTGCAGTTTAAAAACTGTAGTGTAAAGCACCCTTCTGACAAGACAGTGATGGAGTGAATGATGGTGAAAGTTTTTCTTTTTCGGGCCACCCTGCCTTGGTGGGAATCGGCCAGTGTGATAATAAAAAAAAATATTCTTTCTTGAATTCTATCGTGTTTCTCACCTTCTTTACCAAAGGAGTGGCACTCTGAACTTTCTTTGGCCCCATGGTGGCTCATTCCAAAGTAGCAATCAATAAATAAGCACAAAAAACAATGGATGAACGTGCGGAGTATTGCTAACTCAACGAGACAGAGGCAGACCGAGTCTGGTACGTGTGAGAAGCGGCATCCTGGGTGGGTGAATGCATCTGATATGGACGATTTCAAAGCAGATGTACGAAACCCGGGGGAAAATTTCGCCGGAAAAAGTGCTCGAAATCCGAATTGTACAATTTCCGCACCGGAGGAAAACCAGGGGTCCACTGAATATGCTCAGTTTTATACTAATATATTCTTGGTTGTATACTCATATTTGCCCAGTTTTATACTTATATATGCCCAATTTTATACTTAAATGTACTTATGTATGCCTAGGTTTCATTATGTTCCTTTGTCAGTTTTACTTAAGACTCAACAGTCCGATAAGCCTGCTGTCATAGAACAGGGGACACTAACCTAATACCTACCAGCAAACTATTATAGCTATCCTATTTTTTTTTTTAAGTCATGTGAAATATTCAGGCCTTCCTGCTCAAGCCAATTGACTACCACATTTCCAATCCAGGAGAGCAGCTTCAATTCCTTGGATCAAGAGCCCATCACCAGCTTCAAGGAACCTCTCTTGATGATACTTAAACCCATCAGCAGTTTAATGAATAAACATTAAAATTACACTGATCTTAAGTTCTAGAATTACACTGAACTTAATAGGGAACTTTAAAAAATCATGTAGTTTAAAGATCTTTATTAGGGAATTTAAAAAAAATTATTACATTCATGGGGAAGCAGTAAACCCATAGAAAGTCGTATAGTGCCTACAGGGACTGGAAGGTATTCATGATCAATGCAGGGAATCACATGGTTCAGCTCCTCAGATAGACCCGTAGTAGAATCAAAGGTTGGAAACAAAACATTAATACACATTCATCTGATGTTCTGATTTCATTCTGCTTTTAATAACATTTAGCTATGGGAGTGGGAACCTCCAGAAGCAACTCAATTATTATTATAATAAAAAAGAAGCGCTAAGCCACAAGGGCTATACAGCACTGCATGGCAGGAAGGGAGGGTATCAGGTGGCAAAAGGGAGATGGACGAGTAATAGGTTACGGAGAACAGCGGGGCAGTGGATGGTGAAAGGGTAGAAGGCAGCAAGAGATTAAGGTAGAAAGGGCTGAGGGGAGTGTGAAAGGTATCATCATCAGAGTTTGTGGAGTAAATCAGTCATTGTCAAGAAGTCAATGAGAGAGTCAAGATTAAAGGAGGGTCTATAAGCAAGAAGGGAAGGTAAACAGAGAGTAGAGCGGAGACGATGTTGGAGGTAAATTCTGCGTGCTCGTTGATAGAGAGGGACTGGAACTTGACACTGCTCACAGAGAGGAACAGGGTGCCTCTCCATGAGATACCCATAAGTAAGACGAGTGTGGCCAATGCGAAGGCGGGAGAGAGTAGTCTCGCAACCTCGGCACTGATGGCAAGAAGACGGCCAGTAACCTATGCTCGGTTTAAGAGACGGCCAGTAACCTATGCTCGGTTTAATAGAATGAAGTTTGTTACCGAGCAGAGTTGACCAACGTTGTTGCCAACGGGTGTGAAGGTGGGTAGCTATTACAGCAAAATAGTCCAGAAATGGAACACCTCTATATGAAATTGGTAGGTCATGTACTGCTGACCGCGCAGCAGTGTCTGCCTGTTAATTACCCTGTAAGTCGACATAACCAGGGACCCAACAAAAAACAATATCTTTATCCTTGGTAGAGATACGGTGTAGCCAAAGTTGGATACAGAGAACTAGGGGGTGAGGTGTATCAAATTTTCGTATAGCCTGTAGAGCACTAAGGGAGTCTGAGACTGCCACAAATGATGACACACGCATAGATGCGATATGAATAAGGGCTGCAAGAATGGCATACAATTCAGCAGTAAAAATGCTAGCCGAAGATAGTAAATGCCCTCGCACGATGCTGCCCAGAAACACTGCTGCGAATCCGACGCCGTCTGAAGACTTAGAGCCATCTGTGTACACAGCGATGGCATGAGAATGAGAGTGGAAGTGATCAAGAAAAAAAGAGCAGGAAGCCACTGTAGGCAGTTGGGCTTTCGAGCAAGGGAGTGAGAAAGAACAGACCCGAACAGCTGGAACTTCCCAGGGGGGTAGGGAAAAGTGAGATGCTACATGAATATATAAAGGTGGTAACTGAAGGGAAGACAAGAGCGAATGTAGGCGAAGAGAAAAGGGACGGAGCAAACAGGGGCGGCGAACAAATAAAGAATGTCTACTAATAACGGTGACCATTCTATAAATGGAAGGATTGCGGAGATCGTGAGAGCGTACATAGTAGCAAAGGCAATGGCGATCAGACAAGGATGGAACATTCACTTCTGCATAGAGGCTTTCAACAGGGGAAGAGCGAAAAGCTCCAAGGCATAAATGTAATCCTTGGTGATGGATGGGGTTAAGGCTAGAGAGAGTAGCAGGAGAGGCAGCTAAATAAATCTGGTCACCAAAATCGAGTTTCGATAAAATGATGGCTGAATGTAGGCAAAGCAGAGTTCGCCGATCAACTCCCCAGGAAAGATGAGCAAGGGTTTTAAGAAGGTTTAGCCGGCTGTGACAAGTTGCCTTCAGAGAGGCAATGTGAGGTTTCCAGGATAACCTACGGTCAAGGAGAAGGCCTAGAAACCTGGCTGTATCATGTTCGGGGATACGGGAGTCATAAAGGTACAAAGGATGATCGGAGATGCGCTCAAAGAGAAGGCCTAGAAACCTGACTGTATCACGTTCGGGGATACGGGAGCCATAAAGGTACAAAGGATGATCAGAGATGACAGAGCGTCTAGTGAAAGTAATTTGGGGAGTTTTGGTACTGGAAAATTTAAACCCACGCGTGGTGGCCCAATTGGAAACACAGTTGACCGCATGCTGGAGAGAAACTGAAATGAGATGATGGTCAGCGCCTGCACAAGCAATAGCGAAGTCATCAACATTGATGGCCTAATATTGGGTGGAAGAACAGAGGCCAAATCATTTATAGCAAGGAGAACAAGTGTTGGCCTCACAACACATCCGTGAGGGACACCTTCAGCTTGGACCAAGTCTGGGGAAAGCACATTGACTCGAACACGGAAATGTCTGTCAGTTAAAAAGTTCTTAAGGAAGGATGGTAGATTGCCTCGGAGGCCTAAGGAGTGGGCTTGGGCCAAAATATTATACCTCCAAGTTGTGTCATATGCCTTCTCAAGGCCAAAAAATATGGCAATAACTGAGTGATTATTCGCAAAGGCATTACCAACATACGTATCCAAGCGTAGTAAGAGGTCTATGGTAGAATGGCCCTTACGAAAGCCATATTGACTCGTGGAGAGACTGTTGTGTGTCTCTAAATACATTAAACGTCGATTTACCAGACGTTCCATCACTGCAAACTGCACTAGTAAGAGCGATGGGACGATAGTGGGAGGCATCATGTTCCGTTGTACCCGGCTTGCGGAAAGGGAGAACAATGGCAGATTTCCACAGCTGGGGAAGAACTCCTTGTGCCCAAATAAGATTGAAGAGGTGTAAGAGTACTAAAGGGCTGACTGATGTAAATGTTGTAACATACGAATATGAATGTTGTCAGGCCCAGCTGCCGATGATCGACAAACTGAGAGCGTTGCCTTCGGTTCCTGAAGTGTAAAAGGCACATTATACTGTTCTTCTCTGAGAGAAGAAAAGTCCAAGGGCACTAATTCTATGGCAGACTTTGAGGAAAGAAACGAGGGGCATAGATGGAGCCCCCGGGAAATACGTACCAGATGAGTGCCAATTTCAATGGCAACGTCAAGAGGGTTTGCTACATCAATACCGGCGACCCGTAGAACAGGAGCTGGGTCAGGAGAGTATTTACCACTCAATTTCCTCACTTTTTTCCAGACTGCACTCATAGAGGAAGCAGAGGTGATGGTGGAAACATAATCTCGCCAGCAAGTGCGTTTAGCGTCACGGATGACACGGCGAGCGATCGCATGCTTCTGCTTAAAATCAAGAAGTCTATCATCGGTTCGATTGTACCGGTACCTGCCCCATGCAGTGTGTTTCAAACATACTGCACGAGCACAAGCAGACCACCAAGGCACGCACTTCTGAGAATACCTGCCTGAGGTTTGGGGTACAGAATGAGAAGCTGCGGTATAAACTGATAAACTGACGTTGAGAAGAGGTGTAGGAGCTCATCAATGGAGGATGAAGAAGGAACTCCACTAAAAGCAGTGAGTTGTGAGTAAAGGTCCCAATTTGCCTGATCAAATTGCCAGCGAGGGTTACGGAAAGGTGGTGAATATGAAGGAGAAGAATGATTGGAAAATGATCACTGTCATGTAAGTCCGGTAGAACAGACCAGGTGAAATCTAGTGCAGTGGAGGAAGAGCAGACTGATACATCAATGCAAGAGAGAGTATGAGTACGAGGATCAAAATGGGTGGGAGTACCCGTATTTAAAAAATGGAGGGGGTGAGAGGCAAGAAAAGCCTCCAACTGGATGCCATGTGAGTCACAATGAGACCCCCCCCAGAGGAAATGGTGGGCGTTAAAATCACCAAGTAACAGAAGTGGTGGTGGTAAGGATGAAACAAGGCAAAATCTGGGATAGAAAATGCTCGAGAAGGAGAGAGATATAAAGAACATATTGTAAACCACTTATTCAAGTGGATACGGGCTGCAGTGTAATGCAGTGAGGTATGGAAAAATAGCTGACAGTACGGAATATCATTGCATAGAAGAAGGGCACTTTCATTAAAGGTCCCATCTGAGAAAGGGTCCGAAGAATACAATAAATTATAGCCTGAGATAGGGTGGAAAACAGCCGAGTGTAATTTTGGTTCTTGTAAGCAAGCACCAACAGGGAAAAACCTGGAAAGCAACATCTGAAGCTCATCCCGATTACCTCTGAGGCCGCGGATATTCCACTCTAAATAGGCCATGATTGGCAATGAAGAAAATACCAGGAATCTATAGGGAAGGGCACCTACGGACTAGAGGGGTTAGAAAAGTCAATGTGCGGTGGCATCGGAAGACGTTCAAGCAGCGAAGGAACAGAGCGTTGAGAAGAATGGAGTTGTGGAGATGGAGGAGAGGGAAGAGAAGGAACAGGAGGTGGATCAGTGTCCATTGAAGGTTTAGTCTCTGCAATATATTCTGAAATGGCTTCAAGTGTTTCTGAATTCAAAGATGTATGGGAGACAATATTGGAGGTAGGAGGAGGAGGGTGAGTAAAGATTGGGTCAGTAATGGGCTGTACCAAAGTAGAGGGGGACGAAAGAGTGTAGGGGACTGGAGAAGAAGTATGGGAGGGGACAGAAAAGGCAGAAACCTGGGAGGTGGCAAAAGAGGGAGAAACTTGGGAGGGGACGGGGGTGGAAGGCATAGTACGAGGAGGAGGGTGAACCTCCACACTTGTAATAGAGCTAGAGAGAGGGGAAGAACTAGGCACAGAGACTGGAAAGGTAAAATGCAGAGGTGGAAGAGGAGAAGGAGGGGGCAAAGAAGATTTGAGCATTAGGGTTTTTTTGGACTTCTGAGAAGTAGAGGGGCGATTGGTATAAGGTGTCGAACGAGGTCTTGTCGATACCGGGGCTTGTGAGGAAGGACACGAAGATGTGAGAGCAGACTGAGTTGTAGTTGGGACATCAGAGCCCAGGACAGCAAAAGGATTAGATACCGGAGTGGCTATGGGAAGGGTAACAACAGAAGATGGGACCCCAGATGTGGGGGGACATTTTGAAACACAAGAATAAGAAACACGGGATAGTCTCCCTTGGAGGCGGAGATGAGAAACTGCCATAGCGTAAGGGAGACCTTCTGCCTCTTTGAGGGAACAGATTTCACGCTCATTTAAGTAGACCTGGCAACGGCAAGAATACAAAGGGTGAGCCTCATTACAATTAAGGCAAGATGGAGGATGACTGCAAGACATATTAGAATGGTCGTCGGCACCACAGACTGGGCATTCAGCTATAGATCTGCAATATTTTACTGGGTGACCAAAACGCCAGCAATTTCTACACTGTTGCGGTGAAGGGTCACCTTTCGAACTTGTAAGAGATGTCCCGCGACATAAACAGAGGACGGGAGCTCACGGCTGTCAAAAGTTAATCGAGCCACATTGCAAGGGTATCGTCTCCGCCCGCGGGCAGGAAGGACATAAGTGTCTACTTTGAGGATTGGGAGATCCTGGAGTTCCAGCTGTTCAAGAATGTCATTGCTACATGACTGGAAATTCTGTTGGACTATGGTATGGGGCAGAATGACAGTACCACTACAAGAATTGAGAGAAAAATATTTTTCAATAGTGATAGGAGTAGTATCGATATGCGAATGGAGAGAAAGATCATGAGCTTGGGTAGCATTGTGGACAGTGACGATGCGCATACCGCTCTTGAGAGCATGAAATGAAATATCTCTACCAACATGGCGTAGGAGCGCTTTGCCAATACTATGGTCAGAAAGACAGGCAGAAGAAGTCAGTCTTAAAGTAAAGAATTTAGTCCATTGTGTGGTCCGAAACTGAGCGTGGAGAGGGAGTGTATGACGTGTCGGTCTTTTCTGAGTAGAATGGGAAGGTAACGAAGGAACATCATCAGGAGATTGTCGTTGGCATTTAGGAGTAGGACCGGAGTTGGTCTGTCGTGAAACGGGCTGGCGATTCGAAAATTGCCGTACCATAGAGGGAGAGGCCGGAAGCATAGTCAAAGGAGAGCGAAGGCCAGACAAATTGAAGGAGTCAGTCGAAGCCCTGGTACCTGAAGCGTGTGAGGAAGGAGCACCAGCAAGAGGTACAGGGGCATCAGGAGTGTCCGAAGAGTGGTCAAAAAACAAGGTAGGGTCAGAGTGGGGTGCGGTATCAGGAAGGGGCCCGGGGGTAGTGGGTTCATGGATTGGGTTCTCTATGGTTAGGTACTCCTTTGCTTTTTGTTTTTAAGAAAAAAAAAGAAAGGAGAAAAGAAAAAAAAAAAAAAAGAATAAAAAAAAGGGGGGAGTGGGGAGGAATAGTTCCCAGGAGGAATGAAAGGGCCGGAAATCTCCCTCCACGCCCAAGAGGACCTCAGCACCACTAGTAGCGCAGATGCAGCATGGAACCCGTGTCATACCCTACCCTTCATGCCAGTAAACCAGCAATCCCTGATAGCAACCTCACATCTGCCGAGCTACCTTGGTGGACAAAAGAGAGGGCGGCTGGATATCCGCCACAAAGCATACCTCCTTCGGCCACCGCCCGTAGAATCTGAAAGGTGGCTTCCAGAGATACACCCGTCATCTGAAAGGCACCCAAAGCCACTCTCCGGGATACCGGAGAGGGATTGGGACATCCCCAGGCAATCCAGATTCCACTGCAAACTACGCCATCGCCAAGAACCTCAATGGAATGGGATGGACCCCGGTACCCTTTCCCCTACCTAGGAACTAGCGCGCCTGTGGGAAAAATCCCAAAGACCAAAAAGAGGAAGGGCAAAAGGGAGGGGTGGGGAGGAGGAGGAGGAAAGGGAAAAGGGGAGGATGGGGAGGACGGGATAGGGAAGGGGGGAATGGGGGGTAATTAGGTTCGGTCTGAGGAAGGAGACTGACAGGTCTAATTCCTCAGGCCAAGAGCCTCTTCACCACGCCAAGGAGCCCCCCTTGAAGAGGAGAAGCAACTCAAGGTGTGACGAACTTTTGTTTCTGTGTTGCATGCCCCCCAAAAAATTTTTATTTCATACAATACACTTCCAGACAAGCCTGACCCCAGGCCAGGATCAAGGAGCTTACCTGGAGAGGGTTTTGGGGGTCAGTGCCCCTGCAGCTTGGTCTGAGACCAGGCCTCATGGTGGATCAGGGTCTGATCAACCAGGCTGTTTCTGCTGGCCACATGCAAGCTGATGTAAGAACCACAGCCTGGTTGGTCAGGTACTGACTTTAGGTGCCTGTCCAGTGCCTTCTTGAAGACAGCCATGGGCCTATTGGTAATCCCCCCTTATGTATGCTGGCAGGCAACTGAACAGTCTTGGGCCCCAGACACTTATTGTGTTGTCTCTCAGTGTACTCGTGGCGCCCCTGCTTTTCATCGGGGGAATGTTGCATCTCCTGCCGAGTCTTTTGCTTTCATAGGGAGTGATTTTCGTGTGCAGGTTTGGTACCAATCCCTCCAGGACCTTCCAAGGTATATCATAGAAAACTTAAAAGATTATTATGACTTCAACCAGAGAAAAACACTGAAGACCCTCATGACATAGTTGTTAATTTTATTGATGGAGCACTACACCCTCAGATATACAGTTGCACTTTACTGAATTAAAACTCATATGTACTTGAAATTTAAATTTGTGTGGCATGATCATTTAAACATCTGGAAGACCGACACAGTTCTTCCTCAGATAGTTTTCCTGCATCTTACTAGATCACATATAATGTCTAATGATCATACAACACATTGATAAAATTTATGATGTGAATGAGTCAATTAAATTTAAATAAGAAGACTTTTAGACAATGGACACTGATATGATTTCTAACTTGTATGAATTCTAATGTGTCTTACTAAACTAGATTTTTGTGAAAATTTTTTCGAGCACACTGAACACTGGTACGGCTTCTCTCCAGTATGAATTCTCATGTGGTTTACTAAATCAGACTTTTGGGAAAAGTCTTTTAAGCATTCTGAACACTTATATGGTCTGTCTCCAGTATGAGTTCTCAGGTGACTTACTAAATGTGATTTTTGAGAAAAGTCTTTTAAACATTCTGCACACTGATATGGTTTCTCTCCAGAATGAATTCTCATGTGACTAACTAAATCAGACTTTCGAGAAAAATCTTTCAGACATTCTGAACACTGGTATGGTTTCTCTCCAGTATGAATTCTCATGTGACTTACTAAATGTGATTTTTGAGAAAAGTCTTTCAGACATTCTGAACACTGATATGGTTTTCCTCCAGTGTAAGTTCTCATGTTACTTACTAATTCAGAGTTTTGAGAAACATCATCCATATATGGTTTCTCACCAGTATGAGTTCTCAAGTGACTTATTAAATGTGATTTTTGAGAAAAGTCTTTCAAACATTCTGCACACTGATATGGTTTTTCTCCAGTATGAGTCCTCATGTGAATTACTAAATCAGACTTTTGAGTAAAGTCTTTTAGACATTCTGAGCACTGATATGGTTTCTCTCCAGTATGAGTTCTAAAGTGATTTACTAAATGTGATTTTTGAGAAAAGTTTTTCAGACATTCTGAACACTGATATGGTTTCTCTCCAGTATGAGTTCTCATGTGTGTTACTAAACATGATTTTTGAGAAAAGTCTTTCAGACACACTGAACACTGATACTGTTTCTCTCCAGTATGAATTTTCATGTGTCTTACTAAAAAAGACTTTTGAGAAAAATCTTTCAGACATTCTGAGCACTGATATGGCTTTTCTCCAGTATGAGTTCTAAAATGAATCACTAAATGTGATTTTTGAGAAAATTTTTTTAGACATTCTGAGCACTGATAAGGTTTCTCTCCAGTATGAGTTCTCATGTGCTGTACTAAATTACATTTTTCAGAAAACTCTTTTAGACACACTAAACACAGTTTTTTTTGGCCAATAATACTCCAGGTTAGAGAAACACACTGAGACTGTTCTGAAGAAGACTGCTTTAATGAGTGTGAATGTTTATATAATTGGTCTCCAACATGAACAACTGTGCACTGTGTTGCTTCAACACACTGTGTTTCAAGTATTTTTGACATAGTGAACAATAATATTCTTATATATTAAATAAATTACTTAACTAGAGGAAATTTTGAGAATATTTTATTACAATGAAAATTAATATCTCTGTAATACTCTGTTATAAATATAACAAACAATAAACCTGTATGGGTAATATAGTGTCTGAAGAATAGGAAGAGTGACACAAGCATACCATATTTCGCGGCTTATTAGATGCATTTTTTTCGATAAAATGTCTCCAATAACCACCCTGCATTCTATAAACTGAAGGTCAGTGACAGGAACTATAAGTTTGGGGTGTGCTGTAGCTTTTCCAGTTATGTCCGATGCTGAGCCATTGAAACTAAAACAAGTCTTATGAACCGTGTCTTATAAGCCACGAAATACGGTATATTTCCACAACTGGGCCACATTAACCTTATGACACTGCTGTTGGCACTATAAATGTTGTATTACCAACACTGTTGTTACAACATTGTGATTATTATTAATACTGTAGTTAGTGCTGTCAGTCAATTATTAACAGTGTTAGAATTCTCAGTTAAGTAGCACTACAGTATAGTGTTCTCTGTATTAACACTACAGTGTTGTCACTATATTAACACTGCAGATAGTGCTGTCACTGTAGTAACACCGTGGTTAGCAGTGTCACTATTACTGTAACAGTAGTTAGTATTGTCACAGTATTATTAACACTTCAAGTAACATTGTCCCTTTTATTAACAACATAGTTAATGTTGTCACTGTATTAACACTGTAGTTAGTGTTGTCACTGTATTGCCAACACAGTAGTTAGCATTGTCACTATATATACATTAAAGTAATTACAGAGGTTACAGATGTTTTATACAGTTGATGTTGGCACTACAAGGGGCAGCCTCTGGTACCAGGATGACCTGCAGTATTGGCACTACAAGTGGCAGCCCCTGGTACCAGGATGGCCTGCAGTACTGGCACTACAAGGGGTAGCCTCTGTACCAGGATGACCTGCAGTACTGGCACTACAAGGTACCAGGATGACCTGCAATATTGGCATTACAAGGAGTAGCCTCTGGTACCAGGATGACTTGCAGTACTGGCACTACAAGGGGTAGCTTCTGGTACCAGAATGACCTGCAGTACTGGCACTGCATGTGGCAGCATCTGGTGCCAGGAAGACCTGCAAAATAAAACTGAAAATTTATAATCATATTATAGGGGAGAATGTGGCAGATGTTGCAGATGTAAGAAACAGGTTACTGAAAGCAATTAAGTTCTTATGTGGATAGTGAGGTTCAGGTTAGAATATGAGGGAGCTCATTTCCCAGTAAAAGTAGGCCTTAGACAAAGATGCATATCACCATGGTTGTTCAATATACATGTATTTACAGATGGGATTGTAAGAGAAGTGAATGCTTGGGTGTTAACAAGATGTGTGGGATTGAGAGATAAAGAATTTAACACAAAGTGAGAATTGTCAGTTACTTTATGCTGACGACACTGTGCTTTTGGGAGATTCTGAAGAAAAACTGCAGAGGTTGGTGAATGACTTTGAGAAGGTATGTAAAAGAAAGAAATTAAAAGTGAACATAAGAAAGAGCAAGGTGATGGGGATAACAATTTAGGTAAAAAAAGATTGGATATCAGATTGGAGGGAGTATGGAGGAAGTAAATGTATTCAGATATCTGGGAGTGGACTTGTCAGCAGATAAGTCTATGAAAGACGAGGTGAATCACAGAACTGATGAGGGGGGAAAAAGGTAAGTGGAACACAGGGGAGTCTGTGGAAACAAAGAACATTATCCATGGAAGCAAAGAGTGGGAATGTATGAGAGTATAGTGGTACCAACACTTATATGGGTGTGAAGCATGGGTGGTGAATGTTGCAACAAGGAGAAGGCTGGAGGCAGTGGAGATGTCTTGTCTGAGAGCAATGAGTGGCGTGAATATAATGCAGAGAAACCATAGTTTGGAGATTAGGAGGAGGTGTGGGGTTTCTCAAACTATTATCCAGAGGGTAAAGGAGTAGTTGTTGAGGTGGTCTAGAACTTTAGAGAGAACGGAAGAAAACAGAATGACTTGGAGGGCATATAAATCTGTAATGGAAGGAAGGCGGGGTAGGGGTTGTCCTAGGAAGGGTTGGAGGGAAAGGGTAAAGGTGGTTTTGTGCAAGAGGGGCTTGGGCTTACAGCAAGCATACATGAGCATGTCAGATAGGAGTAGAGACAAATGGTTTTTATGACTTGATGTGCTGTTGGAGTGTGAGCAAAGTAACATTTATGAAGGGATTCAGGGAAACTGGTTAGCCAAACTTGAGTCCTGGAGGTGGGAAGTACAGTGCCTGCACTCTGACAGAGGGGTGTTGATATGTTGCAGTTTTTTAACAAAAGTGTCAGGATGCCTCTGGCAAGACAGTGATTGAGTGAATGATGATGAAAGTCTCTTCTTTTTCAGGTCATCCTGCCTTGGTGGGAAATGGCCGGGTGTTAATAAAGATATTATAATTTTTAGTATTATAATTATTTTTTAACACACCTACCATCTCCCACAGAATGTAGAGCAACTCGATAAAGAAGAAACCCTTACACCATCACTCCATCACTGTCTTGCCAGAAGTGCACTGATACAGGTCCACCATTACAAATCTGGCAATCAGACATCCGGTTCCATCAGCTATTCGGCACTAATTTCGGCTAGCATAATTTCAAATTTCCAGGGTCGCCACACCAACCTGCTGGTACTGTTTGGTGGTGCTACTTGCTACATAAGTCATTCCAATTTCTTTTCCTCCATTTATTGTTATAACCTGCTTACTTTTAGCCCTAGCTATGGTTCCAACAAATAAAAGAAATGCTTCTCGTTGTGGCTTTCAAGTCACTGTTGGTTGCCATGACCTCAGTCTCATGATGCAGGGGAATATGCTTTATTATTACACTAATATCAACACTACGGCTTGTTTGCCAATCACAACTGATCTAATATGGCATAATAAACAATATAAATAACATAAAAACATGTTAAATACTACATAATGAATAATATCTAGCATAATACCAAGCAGTTCGACGGAGGTATGAAGAGGATATGGGATACAAGTACGATTCTCCTATCCCTGTCTTGGGGGCTTATATTAGAGAAAATGGAGTATAGCACAGAACTGTGATATACACTTGTACTGCACCATAAAACTGAAAGAAAACAGCTATTTTCTCTACATGGATTATCACACATAGCAGCATATATGTAGAGAACCTAGGATAACCCAAAAAGTCAGACAAAGTGGCTTATTTCTAGTACCTGGCTTGGGCTAGCCATATGTGATTTTTGGTAAATATGTGATTCCCAGCCAGGGTAAAAATATTGGGCATGTTTCTTTACACCTGTTGTCTATGTTCACCATCAGTAAATGGGTACCTAGGTGTTAGTGGACTGGTGTGGGTCTTATCCTGGGACACTGACCTAATTTGCCTGAAATGCTTAGCATACAAAGAGACTTTCTAGACTTCTGCGTCAGCCTTCGTCAGGTGTGGACATCTCTCTCTCACCTGTGCATCAGTGACAAATTCCCATCATTCTCTCTGGGATGCTTGTCCTCATCTATTTTGCCCACCGGGCACTCTACAAAAGGGGCACCTGTACATCGGCTTACTTTAGCCAGCTCCATTTTTTCCGCTCTGCGGAAAATTCTTTAACGGTCTTTGGTGGGAAACCGGTTACTGAACTCAGGTGGGAGTGTGGGCATCCCTCTCTGCTGAGGCTTGGCAAGTGGATCCACCGGATCTAATTGCAAACTTCAAGTTTCTATCTCTATTTACATAGGAACTTTTGTTCCTTTTTCTTTCATCGCCCAGCCTTGGGCAACAAATCTTCCTTGTACCATCAAGAAACCGGGCTCAATACGGCTTATGCTGTCAGTGGCCCTGATAAACCCAACAAAGAAAAAGAAAGAAAGAAGGAACTTTCTATATAGTAGTATGTCACTGATGTCAGCTAGGCCTGTATACCATGTATATGTACTTGTAGTAAATATAGTATTATTATTATTATTCTTGTTATTATAATTATTTTTTCTCTCAGTTGTTTGTTGGGCTATCTTATTGAAACTTGGGCAATGTATGATGGAAAGATGCTTAACGCACACCAAAAATGGAAGAAATCAGACCATAAATAACAGAGTTCACTTCTTGGCCATTAGTGGGCCCATAGCAGTATATTTTCATATGGTTTTTATGGCTGTACACGTATTCTCGTTTTTTTTTTTGGTCTCATTTGATAGAATGAAAGATATATTGCAGAAATAAAGATGATTTTGATTGCTTTCACGATGAAAAGTACCTTGAAATTGAGCTCAAAGTAGCGTAAATGTTTGATTCTTTAGTGATGTTCAAGAGTAATCTAATGACGTCATGTTCTAATACATGTGCGCCTACCAGTCCAAATTCCAATACACATTCAAGATTGGGTTGACATTATTTATACAATTATTACAATAATGCAGTAATCTGCATAACAGTAAATCTTCTATTTTTTGTGTGAATAAAAATTCCAAATGGAAAGCAAGAGTAATATAAAAGAGGCCTGGAGCCATGACTAATGAACAGAGAAAATGTTATTTTAGTGCCAGGAATGTCTGCATTGTTTATTCTGGACCCTATTTTAAAATTGGTATCTGTTGAAATTTGTGTGAAATTGGCCAAATTGCCAATTTCTGACCACTTTATTGGGTAGTGAAATAGGTGAATGGGCAGTTTCTTGCACTCAGTCAACAGAATAGAAGTAAGTTTATTTAGGTATACACAAATACAGTTACATAGATTATCATACATAGCAGCATATGTATAGAGAACCTAGGATAACCCAAAAAAGTAATTTCCAGTACCTGGCATGGTCTTGCCATATATGATTTTTGGTATATACAGTATTTTTTTTTCTCAGTTGTTTGTTGGGCTATCTTATTGAAATATGGGCAATGTATGATGGAAAGATGCTTCTTAATGTACACAAAAAAAAAAAAAAAAAAAAAAAAAAAAGGACAATAAATATGGGAGTTCACTCCTCAGCCATTAGCCGCCTCTTTGCGGTATATTTCTGTATGGTTTTTATGGTTGTATTCTCATTTTCTTGGTTTCATTCGATTGAATGGAAGATATATTACAGAAATAGATATGATTTTGATTGGTTTCACGACGAAAAGTGCCTTGAAACTGAGCTCAAAGTAGCGGAAATGTTAAATTTTTGCCAATGTTCAATGAACTTTTTTATTTAAGTCAAGTTGGTTAATTTTATTAAGTGTATCCTAACCTAACCATTCTATAATCCGACAAACTCAGTAATCCAGCACACTACTGGTCCCAATGATGCCAGATTTGTGATGGCAGACCTATACTAAAGTTCAGATGCCCCTCCAAAATACAAATATCCCCACTGCTCCTTTAGAGTACAAACACTGTACTTCCCACCTTCACCCATCCTTCAGAGTACAGGCACTGTACTTCTCACTTCCATTCCTCCTTCAGAGTACAGGCATTGTACTTCCCACCTTCACCCATCCTTCAGAGTATTGGCACTGTACTTCCCACCTCCATTCTTCCTTCAGAGAACAGGCACTGTACTTCCCACCTTCACCCATCCTTCAGAGTATGGGCACTGTACTTCCCACCTCCATTCTTCCTTCAGAGTACAGACACTGTACTTCCCACCTTCAACCATCCTTCAGAATACAGGCACTGTACTTCTCACTTCCATCCCTCCTTCAGAGTGCAGGCACTGTACCTCCCACCTTCATAATTCCTTCAGAGTACAGGCATTGTACTTCCCACTTCCATCCCTCCTTCAGAGTACAGGCACTTTACTTCCCACCTCCAGGACTCAAGTCCAGCTAGCCAGTTTCCCTGAATGCCTTCACCAATGTTACTCAGCTCACACTCCAACAGCATGTTGTCCCAAAAATTCATTTGCCTCCATTCACTCCTATATAAGATGCTTATACACATGTGTTGAATGTTGAAGCCCCTTGCATACAAAACCTTCTTTACCCCCTGCCTAAAACCTTTCTTAGGATGACCCTTACTCTACCTTTCCTCCACTACAGATTTTTATGCCCTCCAAGTCATCCTATATTTCTCCATCCTATCTAAAAGTCTCAACCACCTTAATTAACCCTTTCATTGTTGAGACCCCTGCTCACAA